CTGTTTTGTTTGTTAGGTTCTTTAAGAGAGTAAGGCTCACAAGAGATGGAAGTGTCTTGGAGTTGCAATTCTTTCAGAATTATCTCAATTTTAAAAGCAAACAAGAGGAGCAATCAAATGGAAAGTGTAGCAACAACGATGTCTCTAGTAGGGGCACATTACAAAGACAGAACGGTGGGAGCATTTCCACCCTTCAAAAGCAAGCCAGCAGAGAAGAAAATAGACTGCCTCCAGCAGCACAGGGGGTGAGCGTTTAAGCGGTGTGTGTTATCCAAAAGCTTTCTTTTGAGCTGAAGATTCTACAGTACAAAATTATATGAAAATAGGTTTTCATTCGGTGTTTTTAAAGCATTTTAGATAGTTAGTGAAGCTAAACAGTGCAAACCTACATGTTGGGGTCCTGCTACATAGCTTAAAAAGCACTGAGGCATGGTGCATCAGTCCTACTTTAACCTTGAGAGATGATGATGTTGAGTCTACAATAACCAGAATGCAGCCAACAGATTAATCCTCTGTCGGATGGTTATATACTGCAGGGACAAGCAAGGCTTCAGCCAGAATGCTCTTGCCTCGGACTCCGATGTTAATAAATCATAAAGCAACAGCAGTACTGTGCCTCAGATACCTATTTTAGAAAATACATACTCAAGTAGCAATGTCCAATAGTCCTGGGACAATTTTCAAAATTTTAAATTACCTGTATTATTTATTTACTTGTATCCTTGTAAGTGTGAGTTGTGTGCATACATGCATGCCACAGTTCATGGGTGAAATTTCCAGTTGTTTTTCTTACCATGTGGGCCCCAGGGATTGAACTCAGTAAGTCAGTCATAGTTGAAATCTTCTTTGGTTGCTAAGTCATCTCAACAGCCCCTGTGATGCTTTAAATGAGATTGTCACCCATCGGCTCCTATATTTGCATACTTAGTCAGCAGTTGATGAATTGTTTGAAAGGATTAGCGTCTTGGCTAGGGTTTCTATTGCTGTGAAGAGACGCCACGACCATGCCAACTCTTATAAAGGAAAGCATTTAATTGGGGCTACCTTACAGTTCAGAGGTTCGGTTCGTTATTTTCATGGCAGGAAGCACGGTGGCACACAGGCAAACATGGTGCTGGAATGGTAGCTGAGAGCACTACACCTCAGCAAGCAGCAGAGAGAGACAGACAATGGGTCTGGTTTGAGCATTCAGGAACTTCAACTCACACTTCTATTGACAGACTTCCTCCAACAATGCCACACCTACTCCAACAAGCCTGCACCTTCTAATAGTGTCATTCCTTTTAGCCATTTTTATTCAAGCCACCACAATTAGGATATGTGGTCTCGTTGGAAGCGGACTTTGAGGTTTCAAAAAGCCCAGATCAGGTCCAATGTTTCTCTTTCTCTGCCTATTGCCTGCAGGTGCAAAATTCTCAGCTGCTGCTCCAGTCCCATGCTTGTCTGTTTCCTGACACAATGATCATTAACTAATCCTCTAAAACTGTAAGTTAGCCCCAAATTAAATGGTTTCTTTTATGAGGGTTGCCTTGGACGTGGTGTCTCTTTACAGCAATAGAACACTTACTAAGATATCCCCCATAAAGACTTTTCTATAAATAAACACTATGACCACAGAGGGAATAAAAACTTCTAAATTTAATTATTTCTAAATTCACTTTCACAGGTCTGTATATTTTGCTAACAAAGAAAATTTATAATACACATTTATTGCAAAAAAGTATATTTTCCTATCCTTATTTTAATATAATCATTCCTTATGGTATCATCAATTTCTACACATAATTTGAGCTCTATTAAATATAAATATCTATACTCTAAACCTAAAACATACTTGTTTTGAAAGTGAATAACTACTGATCAGTGAATGTACTTTGATAAAGAGGAAGGTGCTATGTAATGAGCATTCTTCCTGCCAGCCTAGTTCCCAGAGTGATGTCAGTCCCAAATGAACATGCAGGATGCTATAATTATGAAGCTGTTGGCTGTTTGCTATGGTTTCTTATTGGCTAGCTCTGACTTAATTATTAACCCATGATTACTAACCTACATATTTTTATAAGGTCTGATCTTACCAAGAACGCCAGGCTTATGTGTCCTCTCCTCCTGGGATGACACGGTGACCTTTACCCTTTACTACACTTCCCAGAATCCTCTTTGACTCCTAGTCCCACCTATCTTTCTTCCCTATTGGCCAGCAGTGCTTTATCAACCAATAAGACAAACATATACACAGATGGACTTCTCCCATCAGTGCTATCACACAAGATAAAAGATAAAAATTTGTATATTTTAAATTTTGGCATGAAACAAAAATTACAATAAATGAATGTATCCAACCTTGAAACTATCAGCTTCATAAATCGAGTCACATAATAATTTAAATTTATTAAGATATTACTAAATATTGTCTTAAAAATTACAATCAGCAGGGTAGTGTCCCAGACCATTAATGCAGCACTTGGGAGACAGAGACAGAGTCAGAGAAGGTGTATTTCCATGAGTTTGGGGCCAGCCTGGTTTTTATAGTGAATTCCAAGAAAGCCAAGCCTACATAGACAGATTCTGCTTCAAATAACAAAAAAGTTAATATCTTTGCAGAGTCTCAGTATCCACGTCATTGTTAACATAATGAGCCAGTGTCACCCTTCATGCATGCTATATCCAGCAAAAGCTAACAAGAATGGCTTTACATAAACACATGTATGTGTGCAGATATACATTTGGTTTTCTGTAAATTAAATATTCTCCCTTGACAGCTATGGCTATTTGTGAGACCCTTATAACCATCAAATAGGAACCAATCTTCAAGATGAAATGGACTGCAATCCTACTGCAGAAATTGATCACACTCCTGCCTTTTGAGGGAAAGAGCTTTGTTTGTTAAACTATCTTTGTTAAACTATCTCCAAGCATCAAATACTTTGTCCTTTGTTTCGAAATGTTCAACCTACTAGCTATCCTGACACTCAGCTGTGGAACTTCTTATTTTGATGACTTAGAGTATCATATGAGATGATTTTTCTAGAATCTTAATGGTATTAGTCATAGAGCCAGTTGTTATCCCAGCTGTACTCTATATCCCCAGAAACAGGACACTGGAGCACACTTTTTGGTGCTGGGGAGACACAGGACTTTTTGCTATACAGGCAAACATTCTACCATTGAAACCCTGATCTTTTCAGAAGGGATCTCACTATGCAATGCAGACTGCCTTTGGACTATAAATCCTAGGCTGGCCTCGAACTCAAGATCCTTCTACCTGGAAAGTGCCAGAATCATAAACTAACATCATACCCTTCCACTCTTGATGGGCTTTTATTTTTTCTTTGTTGATATTGCTTATTTCTGCAGTGGTGATGGTGGTGGAACCAAAGGTCATCAACATGCTACTTGGGGTGGAAGGGGACTTCCATCACTGAGAAACATCCCCACTGTGTGGAGGTTTGAACTAGATAGCACCCCCCCTACACACACACACACACACACACACACACACACACACACACACACACACACACACAGAGGTCTCAGGCATTTGATCATTTAGTCCGCAGTTGATGATGTTGTTTTGTTATACTTAGGAGGTTAGGAGGTGTGGTCTTGCTGGAGGAAGTTTGTTGGAAGGAGGATGGGCTATGTGAGTTTGAACACGATATCATTTCTAGTCCCCTTTCTATGCTTCCTGCTTACAATTCAAAAAGTAAACGCTCAGCTTGAGGCTCCAGCCACAATACCTGCCACCTGCGGCCCCCATTCCACCATCTTGAACTCTAGCCCTCTGGAATGGCAAGCCAAAATGAACTTTGTAATCTATAAATTGATTGGTCATGATGTTTTATCACCGGCACTAGAATAGTAATTAACATACTCCTTTAAATAGATATATCGTGTTTGTCTGTCATTTGTGTGTTTCCTAAAGCATCTGGAACAGGCACAAAGCCTCCTGTGCTGGCTAGTCTTGTGTCAACCTGACACAAATTAGTTCAATAAGGAGAAAACCTCAACTTAGGAGAAAATGCCTCCACAAAGCCCAGCTGTAAGGCAATTTTAAAATTAGTGATTGATGAGGGAGGGCCCAGCCCATTGTGGGTGGTGCCATCCCTAGCCTAGTGGTCCAGGGTTTATTAGGAAAGCAGGCTGGGGGGGGCTATTAAGCAGCTCCCATCCAGAGCATCTGCATCAGGTCCCTTCAGGTTCCTGCCTGCTTGAGCTCCTGTCCTGACTTCCTTAGAAGATGAACACTGAGGTAGAAGTGTAAGCCAAGCAAACCCTTTCCTCCCCCAACCTGTTTTCTGATCATGGCGTTTCCATGCAGCAATAGAAGCCCTAAGACACCACTCCTTCCTTCCCTAAGAGTGATACTAACTGGCATGGCCAGTAGTTAATTCAGGTGAGCCCTATTCAGCCCCCATCACTACTTTGTGGTAGAGATATCCTTTTAGTAAAGGCAGACAAATGGATTCCGTTTACAACCATACACAGAATCAGCAAGGGGCCTTCTAACTTGATCTAAAATGTATGATGTCTGAGGCCCCTGGGATGCTGTCATCAGAGGTAATTGAAATGCCTCTTGCCTATCATCAGAGTGGAATGCTTATACAGTTCACATTGAAAGTGATTTGGATTAAGATTCCAAGTTGAATCGCTGGTCTGTTACAAGCTAGCACAACAGTCAAAATGAGGACAGTTACTGTTTCTATGGAGTCGTTCTTGGACAAATCTAATGTCATTAAAAAAAAAGTCTGGGTCATGGGAAATCTCTTCCATTCTCATACCTGCTCTATCAATGTGGAAGATACCTACAGACAAAGGAGAGATTCAACGTGTTTAGGGTCTTACCACAAACAGATAAAAACAATCTATCTAGGCCCCGACCCCTAAGGTATGAGTACCCAAAGAGTCATTATAGGATGTTTCTGTGAAGTGTCTACTGAAGCCAAAAGTTTTACTGCTTTCTGCTCTGCAAAATACCAACCTACATATTCTTTTTTCCCCAGGTTCTGTGATGAAACAGAGAATAGAGGGCACACAGCCTGTATGCCCCAGATTCTTGAGACAAGTTACCGAAGCTGGAATCCATGAATGCACTATGTGCTGCAGTATGAGTTTGGGCACATCATCTCACCTGCCTGAGTCCCATTTTCACATCTTCAAAATGAAAGAGTAAAATCATCAGGATTATGCCACAGTCCAGTTCCTTGCATGTTGCTGAGTTTTTTTGTTTGTTTGTTTGTTTGTTTGTTTTGGTTTAGATTTATTTTATTTTCAATTGTGTGTGTGTGTGTGTGTCTGGGGGTGTCCACATGAATACAGGTACTTCTGGTTGATGCCAAAGGCGCTGGATACACTGCAGCTGAAGTTACAGGAAGCCATTTGGCATCAGGGTTGGGAGCCAATCTTGAATCCTCTGCAAGGGCAATACTAGCCGATAACTTTTAAGCCATCCCTTCAGCCCCTGGTTCTATGTCAGTGGCTCCTGGCCTTGCATATCTGGAGCGACTCCACAGAGAAACTGGTATCTATTGCCAGGGACAGTTCCCATCCCAGACATTGTCATCAGAATGACACGAGCTGAGCCTGGAGCATGCCAAACACTCAGTAAGCATTCTTACAATGAATTTGCTAAAGAGATTGAGCAGAACGAGCAGAGCAAGAAAACAACAGAAACGTCACTATCTTACCTTGGCATTTAGAAAAAAAAAAAGACTACACAGCTGCTATTTGCTTCTCTAATCTGACAAACACCAACTAGCAGGAAGGACAAAGGAAAGTGCGCTCTGCACCAGGAAGGAGTCACATGCTGTTCTCAGAGCATAGAAATGTGAACAAGTAGGGAATCACAGAGCATCCTGCCCAAAGGAAGACCCTAGTGTCTAATTAGTGAAGCTCTTTTCCATGTCTAACTAGGGGCCTGGGGTGAGCTGACCACTGTAGCTAACAGGAAGAATTTGCGGTAAGTGCTGCTGCAGGTGTGTTATTCACTGCCTGGGTGGAGATGGCACCCACTACTCTCTGTCACTCGATTTGCAAATCTTGTTGTCAAATGGAAAGACCAACAGAGAAGGAAGCTGGCAAGTTCAGCCACAGCTGAAGGCAGCTCTGGTCAGAGGTAAGGAAAGGAAGAGGAATCCAGCAGCCTTAACGGAGGCTGCAGTGAATAAGGGGTTTGGTGCTGGCAGAAAAGTCCACCTAAAAGGTCTGACGTGTAATGGTAGGAGACAGACGTGTGATAGAACGTGAGAAGTGGTCTCAAACCCCGGCTCTACCGCTTAACAATGGCTCTGAGCAAGCTTATATTGCTAAGCCGCCATCCACCCATGCATAAAATAAAGAATTTTAATCCACATCACAGGGCAAGGCGTATCCATTAGGTTAACAGAAAGGATCTAGTCACTATAGTCTCCAAGCTCAGGAATTAGTGGCCCTTAGTCCCAGTCCATGAGTTGCCAAGGTGTGGTTAGTCTTACAGCTAGGAGATGGAGCTGGAGCACAATGAAATTAATTAGTTACTTACCTGAATGCTACCAATAAGAACAGAACCACAGGAGAAAGCAAAACAATGTTTTCTAAAGATGCTTGTTGGGGACTGGAGGCAGCAGAAAAAGAGAAGCCAAGAAAAGCTAGACATGTTGTGAAGAAGGAATATAGGCTTCTCTGAAACACGAGTGCCCCATGTCCTCTCTGATATGATGATCACAACTTCTCATTTTTATGTGTATTTTTACGTGGATGAGAGCATGCAGAAGCTAGGAAATGACATGAGGGGAGTAGGATGCAGGCTTTCAACAAACGGGCAAGGGGATAAAACATCCTTAACAAGGGACTGTTCATGGTGCAACGGCAAAGAGGGGAAGCTGGGTAAAGAAGTGGGGGAGAGCGAAATGGGAAGATCAACGATAACTAAGGATGTACGAAAATCCTGTAAGGAAATCTGTCCCTCCACATGTCTGTTGATTTTAAACGTATAATTGAAAAGGCCCAATGGGAGGTAGTGAGTCATTGACCAAAGAAAGCAGAGGGCATAAGATAAACGGTAAATGGCAGGCTCTGAACGTGAGCTGGGGGATGATGCCAGATTTCAGTCACCTCTCCCAGACCCTCTTACCTTGACATCCATCTGGTAGACCCCTCTGTTGGCTTGTCTAGTCATAGTAGAGGACTGCTGAGGCGTTGCCTGTCTCCTGCTCAGGATGCGCTGTTGCAGAACAACGCAGAAGTAAGCATGAGCCAGTTGAGCCACATTAGGGAATCACCGGGCGTCCTGCCTAAAGGAAAACCCTAGTGAACAATTAGTGAAGCTCTTTTCCTGACTAGGGGCTGGGGTGAACTGACCGCTGTAGCTAACAGGAAGGACTTGTGGTGAGCGCTGTTGCAGGTGTATTATTCACACATGGGTGGAGATGGCATTTCTTAGTGCAACAGCCTGTGGCTGGAAAGCATAGCAGCCTCCTTTCACTGGCGGCCTGATGACTGCTCCGTTATCCCAAACTTGAGGGCAGTGTTGAGGAGCTGCACCCACAGATCCAGCTGCTGGGAAATGCCAGCTCACCTCACTTTATAAATGGGCTCTTGAGAGCACACCTGAAAGTAACACTGAGAGAAATCTCCCCACCAGGCTTTGCCTATTAAGAAAATGGGGAGGTATTTCCTGACTTACAGACGCAGTTAGAAGTTTTTCTCTGCCTGGACTGGTCCCACTGGACCGGTTTCTCTCCCGCCCACTGGGTCCCTGCATCTACTTATGAAATGACACTCTGAGGCTTAATGTCAACTAAAATTGTTTGGCCAATAGCTCAGGTTTATTACTGGCTAGATCTCTTATAAATTAACCCATTTCTGTAAATCGATGTATTGCCACGAGGCTGTGGCTTACTGGTAATGCTCTGATACATTATTCCTTCAGCAGCTACATGGTGTTTCCCTGACTCCACCTTCATTCTCTCTGTAACTCTGTTTCCTGGGTTTCCTGCCTAGCAATATTTTGCCTGGCTATTGGTCAAAACAGCTTTATTCATCAACCAATAAAAGCAACAAATATTCAAAGCATACTGAAGGACATCCATATCACACAGAGGCCAGAGACAAAAGGTAATTTTTAAATTCCTTTCAAGTGGTCAAGGTCTGTAAGTTATACATGAATGCCCACATGAAGAGGCACCATGTTCATTTGTGTTTCATGTACTAACACCCACAGGGTGTGATTAATCATACATTATGTTAATATATTAGGTAGGAAATATATTCATGTAAAATTGTGTAGAATCTGCAAATATTTAAAGGTTATCTAAGAATCAGTCAATAAATTGTGTCTGGAATCTGTTTTGACACTGTAAGCTGGAAACCATAGGAACAACCAAAAAGATGTTTGGATACATTCCATGTGCAAAGTGCTGTGCTATAAAAAACAAATAAAAAAGCCATGTGATGGTTGCAGTGGGGCTTACCTGTTGTCTCAGCTATTCAAGAGGCTGAGGCAGGAGGACTACATCCACCACAGAGTTTGAGGCCTGCCTGGGAAACACAGGACTCTATCAGAAAAGAGGCAGGATCCTTAAGAAGCATTCAAATGGTTGGGAAAAATGCTTGTTTTTAAAAGAGAATAGTTGCTTTGGAGAAAAAAAAAAGACATTGTCTCAGATTTGTCACTATAAAATTCAGTTTCCTCAATTCAGAAAGTAGACATTGAGATCAACTCACTGAAAAGGCATTTCTACTGAAGAAGCAAAGGAGCAAATGTAGGAGATGCTATCCAAGTGGACGATTGTGAACAGTAACAACAGCACCCGCCCAGTGACAGAGAGCAGGCAGTACAGGACCCATCAGAGTGGACAGGAAACTGTACCACAATATAATGGAAGAGACAGGGTGGGTAACTCTTGGTTTTTGATCCCAAACTTCTTATGGGAAAGATACAGACATAGTAATGCTTAGGGGACAGTCACCCAACTTTATATTGTTAGAAGCAAAGAATCCACATTTCTTGTTCTAGTTTGTGGGCAAAGATCAACCCAACTGTTGGATCTGCTGAGTGTCTTAGCAGATAGGAAGGAAGACAAAGTGGGTTAAAAAGAAGAGGAAGGAAGAGGGGGTGTAACACGAGAAATAAAAACCCAGAGACAGATATTGGGGTTCAAGCTGAAAGATCAGAGAAGCAAAGCAGTCAAGCCAGTAGCTCTTACCTCTACCTAGGCTGAAGCAATCCTGCCCTCAACGTGGCTGGAGACTAATTGCCCGAACATGGCTTGAGACTTAAATGCCCTACCTCTAGTGCTGGGATTACAGGCGTGTATTAGCAAGTGTGAGCTGTTTCTCTTTTAGTCTTGATCAGTTCCATTTAACTCAGTGTGGCCTTGAGCTAACAGAGATCCCTCTGCTTGTCTCTTGAGTCCTGGGACTAAAGGTGTGGGACACCACTGCCTGACTCTAGCTAGTATGGCTGTTGGGATTAAAAGTGTGTGTCACCATTGATGGGCTCTATGGCTGGTGACTAGCTTTGCATTCTTAACCCTTAGGCAAGCTTTAATAAACTATGAAAAATATATCACCACAAGAGGGAATTTAAAAGGGAAAGGGAGGATAGAAGCAGAGGAATGACAGAAGGAGTAAAAATAATTAGTGTCACAGACTCCAAAGGTAATTATAAAAGACAATGGAACCAATGAATTCTCTGGCTTCATCACCACAGCCACACAGACCAAGCTTTTGTGAGGATCACTGTGCTTTGCTGAGAGCTGGATCAGGCTGCTTAACTAAGTTCATGTGCGTAAAAACTCAGCAAGGGTTACCCACTTAGGAGGGAAATAGTGAGTTGGGGCCATTTAAAAAATGAATATTCCACGTGAAAAAAATGAGATATGGCAATGACAGAAGAAATTCTTGCTGTAATTATTGTTCCATATGTTACTGCCTTCAAGGGAAAACACACACATGATATAAGAATGTATAAGTTTTCAGATGTGTTTTTCAAAGTGAGTAATCTTAGGTTCTGGGAAAAGAAGCATGCATGCTTGATTGTAAATAGAACTGCTTGTGGGGAATCACATCCATCTACAGAGAAAACGTGGGGACCAAGGAAATGTGGTCAGTGGGGCTGGGTGAGAGTCTGGGAGACTACAGATTCCTTACGTTGGAAGGAACTTTCAGATAACTGAATAACCCTCCTCTACTTAGCTTCCTGCCCTCTGTGGCATTGCATCCCCTTTGCTGACAACCTACCAAGCCACCTTACTTACACTGTCATGGAACCATGCTCACACTCAACAAAGAACAAGATGCACTTAAATGTCCTGAGCAGCTGCCGTTCGGAAGGCAGGTTGAATGTGGATTTCATCCACTTAGAATCCTGGAAAATCAGCTACATCTATCTCCCCAGGAGTGAGCTTGGTGCTGACTTGGTACAGATGCATGTTGCTCTGAAAACCATAATTTGGGATGAAATGGAATATAAATTGATACCCAAAGTACTACTTGATGGGGACTTTTGAAAGAAAGCTTAAAAGTTGAATGGGATTTTCAACAAATTTTCACCCACCTATGTTTCTTGTCAGCTCCATTTCAACTGGGATCATTTTTGGTTGTTAGATATTTTTCAATTTTCAGACGAAATTGCGTGCTGGGTCATTCTGTTCCTGTGTCTGTTGTTGGAGATAATTAAATAGCAATTCTGATGATAATAACGCATCTAGTCCTCTGTGAACACGGATCTCCCTGCTCTCAGATAGAACATTTTAATCCCATCTTTTGTCTTCATCCTTGCAAGATCTTTGATTCACTGAGGGCTTTTTATTCCAATAAATAAATAAATGCTGCAAGAAATAATCAATGATGTTAAACTGAGAAAAGCTAAAACTGCACACAGCAAAATTAAAAGAAAAATCAATTGAAAGATCCCATCATTTTAATAACTTCCCAAAATGCAAAAGTCGACTCAAGACTCTTAGTGGAAACAAGCCACTGTAACATAAAACTGGAAATGGCTAAAACTACATTGTGGGAAAAATGTGTTATTGATTAAAATTGACAGAACCTAATCTTCTAGCTTAAGTTTTGATCTGGAGAGTCTTACTTAGTTATTTATAGTAAGTATAACTGCCATGAAAGAAAATTCAGATTGGTAAAAAATTACCATAAAATTTTATATGAATGATTGATGAACTAAATCCTAATTGTGAATTTTATGCAAGACTAATTATTCCTGATGAAAATAGTTTTAATTAAATGAAATAGAATTACATAAAAAGAAAACAGTAAATCATTTAATTGCACTGTATAGAAAATTTCCCAGGACATTAAATTGGCCTGAGATGATGACCAGAACTGCTTTGTCAATGGAAACTCATTGACTAAAATCCATCAGCATTCAATGGATTCTGATTTATTAACTTAGAGTTCAAATGCTATGACTTTCTAAATGTTTAAGTCAAAATTGTCCTGGGTTTTCTACAATGTCTTCACAGAACAAATAATAAAGCCCACATACCTGTGAATAGTCTTGTAGGGAAATATAGACTCATATATGACAAATCCAATATTTATTCTAAAGAAATAGTGTATTCTAAGTATGGTCATATCTCTGGGAAAGAAGGTCATATAGAAAGGGTATTTCACCTTTCTCCATGGTAAACCCCTGCGTTTCTTACATTGACTATAAGGAATTCTATTAACAGCTTTGCATGGTGCGGTACTCCGTCACAGATACTGGGTCAAACTGTGAGGCTGAGGAGCTCCCTCATGCAGATACAGAGTGTGGGGGGGTTGTTCAGAGCTAGTCTATGGAGCAGCTGAGGGATAGAATGGGCAGCAGCCGAGCTCAGAGTGTCCTGCCCAGGACAAGCTTTGAGAACTGCCTCCTGCCAACTGCTTCATGTGAATAAAACCAATAGCAAGACAAATGAACATGCAGAAGCTTCCACTGAGTAGTGGCTTGCACTGAAGCCTCATTAGACCCAAGCACCTTGAAAAAAGAACTAGAGAGAGCAGGGTGTCTGAGCAAACCCAAACGTTCTCACAACGTCAAAACCAAAAACTGAGCATCAAACTATGTGCTCAAAGCACTGTAGAACACAAAGGGGTAAAACAAGATTCCTCTTTAAAAATGCAAGAATTTAAGGTTTCCTTATATTTCACAAAGTCAATAATAGATCAGAAGCTGCAGTGAAACGAGCCCTTCCTCCCCTACCCAGCTCCCTGGATAGGAAGGGAATACTGTTTGATTCCTGGGTAAGACCCTGAGTGTCCCTTCCAGCGTCAGAGGTTGCAGTGGGTACTGGGTGCTAGGGACCAACGAAGGGTACACGGCTACTCCTTCAGGACCATACCTCTTTACTAAGGATGGCGATTTGGTAGCTGGAGGGCTGTGACCTGGAAAACAGCTGGCAGAACTGGGTCGTGTGCCCTGGACTGCCGTGGACTGAGATGCTAGTCTAACTTGGGAATCAAGGCTGGACATGTTGTAGTGGATTCGATCAGGTGGGGCCCAGGGCAGAGTAAAGGAGATGGGAAGAACACAATTTCATGTTCACTATT